TTGGGGGGGGGGGGGAGGGGGAGAGTGTGTGTGTGTGTGTGTGACTGTTAGTTTTGCTTGGTGGGGTGGGAAGAACTGGAAGATTAAAAAGGTTGTTATGCAACATCGACCAACCAAAAAGATATTGCTTTTACTGCGGACACAAGTAATCCACAAAGAACAGTACTAAAAGCAGTGGTTATTCACATGAGATATACATTTGAGTTAATATAGTTAGGGAATGCACAAAGATTTAAAAATTAGTCTGAAAATCGTAAGCTTCACACTTGGAATTTCGTTGAAGATCAGCATAAGCCGCATAATAACTTGTTCCAAAGTCTTGTCTGCAAAAGAAAAAGACCGTGAAACTTCCAAGATTCTTTACATCATCTAATTTCATAGATACCAAAACGCTGGAATATCAAATTCAGAATCTTTAAAGCACCAGGAGATTGAATTGCATGATGCTCAGCCTGGAATAAAGTCAGTTGATAGGTATTCAAGTGCACTTTCCCAGCCCAAAAACAAAACTGAAATTCTAGAATGTACATGAACGCGATCCCAAACTTTCAAAACCCATTTACCAAATCAAATTCACCTGAAGCTGATCAGGTTAAGTGGAAAACAAAAAATTCCAGCGACATATGCCCACATTTACGCCTATTGGATATTATAGGCAAGAAAATAGGAGGCTTTTTTTAAGTTCAGATAATCAGATTTGGAGCAAATTTATCGTCTGTCAGGCGCCGCTTGAGCATAACAGTTCTTTTTCATCTGTCGAGTTGAGCCTAATCACAATATATGCTTCATATAAGGCTAGTACGGGAGCTCTGGCCACCCTTTCGACTAACAAGAAGTAACTATCTTAAAAAAACAATAAAAAAATGAAAAGGTAAAAGCAGAGTGACAATTCAAACGAAAAAAATCTTGTGTCCCAAATACAAATTGGGGAAATTTAAGTTGACCTTTTTCAGTCAAAATATGAAGAGATATATTTAACTTACGTATCCCAGAAGGCTCAAAGAGCTCTCATGCTTATAGAAGCTCGTGTTCTTTCTTCCACTAATGATCTCTAGCATCAAAACTCCAAAGCTGAAGACATCAGATTTTTCTGAAAATCTTCCTTCCATTGCATATTCAGGGGCCATATATCCACTGAAAAAATATCAAAATTAATTTTCAAGTTATTGCATTAATCATTCAAAGCTAAAGGAAAACTCATGGCAGAAATAAATGATTACTAGCAACTCAAATCGACCAAAGGCAATATATACTTACTATGTTCCTACCACTCTTACAGTGCTGGCATGATCTTGGTTGCCTCCAAAAATTCTTGCCATGCCAAAGTCTGAAATCTTTGGGTTCCAATCATTATCCAGCAATATGTTACTTGGCTTCAGATCTCTATGAACTATCCGCAATCTAGAATCTCTGTGAAGATAAAGAAGGCCTCGGCCAATACCTTCAATAATGCTGAAACGTAGTCTCCAATCTAAGATATCTTGTGATGGATCTACAAAGAAAACACCCAGAGGAAAAGAATGCATTATCTATAAATTCTGAACCCCATTTCAACAAAAATCTGTGTAGGCTGTGTTGTAATCGTATTAATTTTAAAATTTCAGAAGGGATGAATCTTGCACTGACCAAATAGATGTGCATCCAAGCTTTTATTAGGCATGTATTCATAGACTAGCATCTTCTCTCCCCTCTCAACACTGCATCCCAGCAGTCTAACGAGGTTCCGGTGTTTGAGTTTGGAAATCAACGTCACTTCATTCATAAATTCTTTCATCCCTTGTGTAGATACTTTTGATAGCCTCTTGATTGCAATTTCTCTACCATTTGCCAATTGTCCCTAAATAGAAGCAACAATTTCAGCAATTCTAAATTCCATGAACCGTGATACTTGAGATGGATAAGGAAGAAAAATAACCCTGTAAACTGGACCAAAACCGCCCTTTCCAAGCTTGTTAGCATCGTGGAAATTGTCCGTCGCATTTGCAAGCATCTCAAATTTAAATAATGGTAACTCTTCGATGCTAGCATTGCGTATATCATCTTCACGAGAAACATCAACTGAATCAGATGGGCGTACATCCCCATGTTCTGATATCATCGTGTTGCCTGATTCAGAAGAAAAGTTATTAAGTGCTAGCTGCATATATATGCCTTGTTGAGTGAAATTTCTAAACATTACCTCTTGGTTTAGTCATGAATTTCCAGGAAAAGAATATGATAATGGATATGGAAATCAAACCAACGATAACCATAATTATTAGGACTAACTTAAAGTCTTTCTTATGACCTGCAACAAAAGAACAACCATCATATTGAAGAAGAAAAACTTAGTTGTTCTTAGCTGTAAAATAACAAACAATAACCTCATAGGGACAACAAGAAGAGCACAAAATTTATGCAACAATTACCAAATTCCGAATTTGCCAGTCGAATGAAAAGATCTGAGCCTGCAGAGTCTTTTTGAATGTTAATTAAGCTTCCAGTCCAGAACAGACAGCCAATACCAGTGTCATGAGCATAGGCTATGCAGGAACAATTCTTCATGCATAGACCTTCACATTCAGATTCCTGACCGGGCTGCCGATCTCCATAATCTGGAACTTTCATCGTTTCTAGCTTCAAAAACCTATCTTCTTTGCTCCCACTATTGGAGCCATTGTTTGTTTCACACTGCAAATCTATCCTCCTCACGCATCCACTTGTCCAGTTCTCTGCTTTCCATTCCCCATCGTCCTGCGGATAAAACCCTCTCAAACAGGTACAAATAGGCGAGTTTTGTGAGTTGCAGATCCCAAACGGTCCACATGTGCCATTACCACAAGAAGTAGTAGCCTTCTCAACTACGGTAATACTACGACTTATTTTCATTGCTGTCAAGAATGACCCCGAAGGTTGCTTAAAACTTTCCCATAATTTACGTCCACTAGAAGATTCTATCAAAACAAGATTTCCAGAATCCAATAGCTGGGCAGTCGTATTCATCTTAGTATTTTTAACATTTGACGACCAAAGAATTTCCTTGTCCCTATACATAACCACAATATTCCCATCTTTATATATCTTCACAGTACCAGAAGAATCGTTCAAAGCTTTATCCCTATTTGCTATCCACACCACAGAAGGTTCAGAAACATTTTGGTTATACCAAATACCTAAATAACGCCTGGAGTTATTAAAAGGACTGAAAAATCCCAATTTGAAGTGCTTACCCTTCGACACTATAGTTTCAGGGTCTTTAATAACTAGATTTGCTGTAATGTTGTCCCTTGATGTGCAAAATCTTGAAGGGCAACAGTAAAGGACAACAAGGATGCATAGAACAAGAGAATTCAGACTCTTACCCGTGATCATGATCAAGCCTCTTGCTCTGATGAATCGATTTCTGATTACCAAGAACAGACAAATTCTCCACTATTCAGTTTTGTGGGTCTAGTAGAATTAGATCATTCTCGACGAAAATTGGCAGTGTTTCCGTACGGAAATTCAAAGGGTGCAAGTTTGAGCTAAATAATGAGCCACAAGCCATCAAAGAAGAACGAACCAGCCTGCAGATTTAGACAAGTCTTTTCATTTCTTCTATTTTCCTTTTCGTACTTACGTCTTCTTCTGGGGTGGGCGTGGTGGAGCAGAAACTAAATGAAAAAAGTCATAGCATCTAAGCCATAGGACTCTGGGTCTTGATTGACACAATATTAATCGACATTTCCTAAATCAGCCGTGCTACATAGCCCACCTCGAGGATTGACCCAAAAACAGGGGGCTGACCTCAGCCCTCGATTTCAACTTCATTTTTTTTTTCCAGATTCAAGGATCGATGTGTTGTTACCTAGACACCCTGGATTTTGGTCGGTCCCCGAGTTGGGACAAGTTGCATTTTGATTGCTAGCGTTGAAAGTTTACTATGGACAATCAATGTCCGTGATAGCAGGATTTTTATTAATATTTAATTAAATAATATTCAAAAAATCGTGCGGATTAGAGCTAGATACATCACTAAAACTAGAACTAGGTACGAACTTTTATTTTGAATCAAAAAATCGTCCTATAATCTGCAAAATCTTCTAATTTATTTTTCAATTAAATAGGCAATATATATTAACAAAATGTCAATATTCAATTTACAATTAAAGTTAATTAAACAAGTATTATTATATTAACAAAATTGAAATTATAATTATGTGTTTGTGTGATTCCACTTTTTCACAATCAATTTTTTGTGAACAAAAAGTAAAACATTTTATTAATTAAATAAGTTTTGTTGAAAGATTTTTTTATAACATTAAGGTCAATTTTTCTACAAGTTCATCCATCATTAATTAACCAAACTCGCAAATCAATTGAATAGAGGGAAAAAAAGGAAAAAAAAAAAGAAAATCAAGAAGAGGGACAAAGTATCAGTTAAAATGTTTCTACTGCATTAAACCAGTAAAATTGGACATATATTATTTTATTACATTATGAGTTAAAAATTAATAAGTGTCATAATGGTAAAGTGATCAATATGTTTAAGAAAAATAATAGGTTCGAATCACCTTCTTCGCAAAATCGAGGTTCCAAGAAATTATTAAAATTTAATAGACAGTAAAGACTTTAACTTTTACGTTTGCTAAAGAGATTACAAAAAGTTGAAGAAAAATAGATGCTTTTACCTATAAAAAAATCAGCGGGGCCCACCTTTTTCTTCGAAATTGTGAAATGAGGCAGTGTAATATATTTATAGAACAGAACTTTTTATATTAAAAGACTAAACTTTTTGGTAAATTGGGACTGTGCAAATGCTCGAATATTGCTTCAAAATGTACCTAAGAAATAACAAACAAATAGATGTTCTCTGTAGACAGCTGCAAGGTGCTTCAAGACAATCCGCGTGTATGTAAAATACTATAGAGTTTCTGATTGACCATATCTATTAAAACTTTAAGGATTTCCTGGCCATTTGTTGGCGATTCAAATGTCAAGTTCACATTGTCATAATTCAAATCAGGAGTTGGTAACTTCATAAATGTAAAGTCATTTTCAATTCTGCATCAAAATTTACGTCATTTTATACCAAATTTTATACTAAATCTTACATCAAATTAAAAATATTTCCGACCATTATACCAAGATTTACACCAAATGAACAATATTTAATTATTTTCTTCTCTTTTTTTATTCTATATAATTTATTTATTTTTTAAAAAAATTTATTTATTCATTTTACAAAAACATAAATTACTAAATAACTAATTAGGTTAAATTAACGAGGATATTAAATTCATTAATAAATATAAAAAAACCTAGTACAATTAGTAGAAATACTACATCAATGAAAATATTAAATCATACCATTAAAAAATAGTGCAGTGCATTTCGAATTTGGATATTATGATATTTTGAAATTGAAATATTATTGCAATATGAGTCTCTTTATCTTTGATTTGTCTATTTCATTGTTGTAATATATTTCATGTTAACTTTAAATAATCGTGTTTGTATATTTTAAATTTTTTTTGTATTCTTATTTTAATTAATTCATTGATTATTATTTTTTACATTTAAAATTTATTTAAATGCAAAAAATAATAATAATAAAAATAATGAAAGTTATTGTATTAAAAAATATATAACACAAGTGACACAAACACCCTCCATCAATTACTTTGACAAATGGAAAAATTGGCAACTATGACTTTGCACCATTTCGCACCAAAATGGTGCAAACTTTGGGGTCACATCGAAGAGCTTTTGCACCAAATTTTGATGAAATTTGGTGTTTTGTTACATCCATTGGAGATATCCTAACTTCCATCTTTTTCATCTCTTAGGAAATTAGGTCGAACACGCGACTGGCTGGACACAAAAACCAAACTAACCAATAATTTTAGGGGAACTTAGACCTACTGCCCAAAAAATAAGAGTATTAAACTAATCAGAATTAAAATTCGCGTATGAATTACGTCCAAGACATCAAAGTCCAAAGAAGCCCACAAATTGATTTTGACATTTTTATCTTCTTCTTTTTTTGTAGTTTTTTTTGTCAATTTGAGTATTTTATCATTATTTTGAATATTTGTCAAATTTTTAAATTTCTGTCACTTTTCGTTTAATAGTCTTTCTTTTCTTTTCTTTTCTTTTCTTTTTTTACAAGATTGTGAGTTAATTATTCCATAGAAATATTGGTTTAAAGAGATAAAACATATCACTCTTTTACATTATAGTTTTTTGCATTGATTTATCTTACATCCTTCAAAAAAGTGATTGCCACATAATCATTCCGGAGCTTTGTTGGATGAGGCGTAACAATTTCAACAATAAAATAAGGGTATTAAATTAGTAATTATCTTTAGAAAACACAAAACTAACCATGGAGGAAAAAAAAAGAACTAAAAATTCGTCCCTATTTAATAGGGAGTAAAATTAGATTTTAGTATATTTTATTAAAAGTTGATGAAATATATGATTGAAAGTTGTCGATCTCATAAAATTTGTTATTAAAATTAATTGTTGAATTAGATTTATATTAAAATTTGAAATTTAATTTTCATCGAACAAGGGCTTCATGAGAGAAGAAAAAAGGGAAAAGAATCCCTTCGCGATTCAAACAAGAGTTTTTCTTATGGATGGTCCCCACCAAGCACTAAGGATACACCCTTGAAAATTCGTAGGGTTGAACAAAACTCTCTAATCGAATCGACCGGAACCGAGCATCTTTTTAAGTTAAATACTCAAAAGAGTATCTAAATCGAGAATCGATGGGTTCGGTTCAATTCTCAGTTCTAGATCAAGAATCGAAGAACTGAATTTTTCCTAATTTTTTATTATTCATTTATTTTAAATAAGCCAAATTATTTTATTTTTTCTAAATAAAATTGCTAACTAGTTAATTTAGCTCAAATCCAAAAATTTGATTTTCTTATTTTTAATTTTCAGTCCAAATCCAACTTAATCAAATTAACCTAAGTTTGTTGACCTAGTTTAGTCGTAAATGGCCTAATCTGGGGGTTTAGGAACTGAACCTGTTCCACTAGTGCAAGATAACCTTCCAAGAGAGCAAAATGTACATCAACCACTTAGAAACACAGTCGATTTTTATCATTGATCGTAACGATCTCCAAAACCATACAATAACCCTTTTGTCTTGACCCTAAATCTCATATTCACGATTGAAAAATCCAACTGAGACACAAATAGACCACAATTGTTGCTGTAGCAAGGGCCTTTTACAAGGTTAATCTTTAAAACACAGATTGGTTTGAGTATTTTCAAACTAAAATCATAGAAGAGAAGAAGCAAAGTCGGACAAAGGCTAGAGAGAAAAAGAAGAGTATTCTGGAAGACACAAATGAACCATCCCCCAAAAATCGAGAGTTAAATGAGATTTAATTGGACCAAAATAATCTCACCGTCCATCTATATCAATGGTCCAAATGTAACCCAAAGAAGCACAACTCTTGCCGAGTTAAGAAGGCCAATTGGGGATTGTCAAATCAACCGTCCACAGTCCAATGGCCTCTAGTGGCAAATGTCAAAAATAACACTCAGTTTAAAGTGTTTTGAGAAACACACTTCTTTCATGAAGTCATTAACATGACTCAAAATCCCAATTTGAAGTTCTGACCCTTCGACACTATAGTTTCAGATAACTAGATTTGCTGTAATGTTGTCTTTTGATGTGCAAAATCTTAAAAGGCAACTGTAAAGCCTAAAAATGATGCATAGAAGAGAATTCAGACTCTTTCTCCTGATCATGATCAAGCCAATACAACTTCATTCTTGCTTTGACGAATCATTTCTGATTACCGAGAACAGACAAATTCTCCACTATTCAGTTTTGTGTATCCTATAGAATTAGATCATTCTCGATGAAAATTGGTAGAGTTTCTGTACAGAAATTCGAATGGTGCAAGTTGTAGTACTATTTTTCTGAATCTTTAACAAAGTTTAAGCTAAATCACAAGCCACATGTTGGGAAATTATTTAATTTTTCATGTGGACCGACGTATGTAATTAATTGTATATAATGACTATATTAAATCTAAACTAAAAATTAAAGTGATCTAACACAGAATTAAGTAATGGCCTTTGGGCATCTAAATAAAGTGTAGGCCAAATTATATGTGTAGATACTTAATTCCTTTAGAATTATATTTCATGATGACATGAAATACTTATGGATATATTCATTGAATAAGAAGACCTAAAATCCACAATCAAAATCAACAATAAAAAATCAAGACTATGGATCAAGCACAAGAGTTAATATTATGTTATAATTCTATATATTAATATTAATCGACTTAATAAAATATGCCATTTCAAGTAAATTAATATATGTAGTATTATTATAATTTCTTTTAATGTTATATAATAATGTTTTTATTAATTGTGTATTCTTAATTGTATACTAATAATTAGTGATAACTGTGTTTATGGAAATTATTTGACTCAATTTTTGAAAGAAATAATAATTATTAATTACATTATTTAGAGAAAATAATTGAATGTTAAGTGTATGTTCACTATAAATATAAAGTTATGTAAAAGTAAAATGCGAAATTGAATATTTATCACATATTCACATTTGGGTTATTAAAAATGACTTTTTGCCTCATAATTTATAAAATTACTGTAAATTAATGGTGATTGAGTTGATGGTTTATTGAAAAGTGACTTTTCATATAATACTTATAAAGTGAATGTTAGTTAACGAGATTTTTTTAGCTATCGTGTTTTATTTCAATTTTGGATTGCAATATTCTTTTAATATGTAATATTATGTTAATAATTGTATATAAAATTTATTATTTTTATAAATTTTATATATTAATATTAATTGACTTAGTCTATGCCATTTCATGTTAATTTCATATGTAGTATTGTTGTAATTTTTATTTTATTTTTATATAAGTTTTTATTAATTATTTGATAATTAGTAATAATAGTTTTTATTGAATATTAATTGAATTAATTTTAAGAAATAGATAATATTAATTTTAACACTAATTGTATTTAATTGAAAAGATTTTATTTTAAGAATATTATTGACCATAATTATAAAAATGTAATGGTAAAATGAAAATTGAAGATATAAAATTAAATGAAAGTATATTGGACCTATAGTTAAATATATAAGGGTAAAATTGGTCATAAAAAATTTCTCCCCAATTCATACTTTTTATATATCGTGGATATACGTGAAGTCCTATACTGCTGGCTTCCAAGAAAAAACCCAAATTGTATGGCCCACGTTATAATCTTTAGCCGCCGGGCCCAGCATTACTCCTTTCCATATCAAAATGTCCAAATTCAATAATAAAGCAAGCATTTTCTCCATAATGCACTGATTAATGTACTTATGATTATAATGATGACGTATGTTAAATCTAATTGTCTTCTGTATCACTGTTTATTTGACAATTGCTCAATGAGTCGATATTGATTGAAGTAAAAAATTCGAAGTTACAAATTAAGTAAAATATATTCGATCGTCGTATTAAAGTGATTGTAACTAGAAAATAAAAGTATATATTTTCTTTGCACTTCAGTTAGACTAATACATTCAATTTATAAGTGCAAACTATGATTTTCAGTCTCAACTATACAAGCATAATCTGAAATAATTAAAATATTATTTGCCTCACTTTGTTGGGTAACTAGTCATGGCTCTTATGGGTCTGGTTGATAGGGCACGTCAAAGTAAAATTCACAACTTTATTGGACTAGGATTAATTGAATAGAATTTGACGAAATCAAAGATGATAGATCTTTTTTAAAGTACTACTATACTTTCAATCCAAAAAAAATAAAATAATAATAAATAATAAATAAATAAAACTCCTTAGATTATTGTAGTTTTTCTTGAAAATATTATGTAGCTACCACCGACCAATTTAGCAACATTTATTATTTGTAGTTTTATCATTCACCTTCTTTTGACCATAGGTATGAATAGAATATTTCCTTGACTAGTT